CGTCCGCGCGGACTCTAGCAGAGAGATGAATCTGGTCACGGCGAATCATAAAGTCCCTTGAGGATTCGCCCACGCTGCATCCACTCGGAGAGAGCGAGTTCTTCTGCGGCCGGAGAGAAAGAAGGAAGGAGAGGCTGCCGAAGCCGGCTGGGCAGAGTGAAAGAGAAAGATCGTGGCGGGGATAGTGGAACCGTGAACGAAGAGAAAGAGCGACTGCAGATGAAGAGAGAGAGAGAGAGAGAGAGAGAGAGAGAAAGAGAGAGAGAGAGCAAGGGAGCAGAGCCGTGGTATTCGCGGTGCAAAAAGCGAGGATGCAGGCAAAAAAGGAAGAGCACACAGCGAAGAAACCGGTTTTTTCCAGTTGGGCCAGGTCGGGGCGTCGAACCTACGGACCGCAGCCTCCCTCCGAGAATAACTTGCATGCTGCAGCGGCAGCAGCGCCGGCGGACGACGTCGACTTCGCCGTCTTCCTCGCTGGTGCAAGCGGCTCGAGGTTGCCCCAGGTCCGGGAAGAAAGAAGAACGGCCCGGCCCGGACCGGCCCGGTCGAAAGGAGGAGGCGGCCGCCTTGGAAAGAATATCGTCTATCCCGAGAGAGAGAGAAAGAGAGAGAGAGAGAGCGACGCGTGGGCGAGCAGCGAGCTCGGTCGAACCTGCGTCAGAGATCGCGGAGGGCAAGGACCCTGAAGAGGGGTCCCGCCGAATTCTGGTTCCTGTTCCCCGTCTGACGTCATACTACGTTCGAAACGCTGGTTGTCCCGGGTCAAGGAAGTTCGCCGGAGCCGAACAAAAGGCCGGGGAAAAGAAACGGGGCCTTGGCGCTGGCAAAATATACACCGGCGGATAAAAGAAACCGCGAAAACCGTCGGCCTCGGGAGCCTGCGTCGCGCACCGCGTCGGTGGAACGATGATCTCACAACGCGAAAAACTGCGCGTGATCTAACGCCGGACGGCAGACAACGGTCGACGGCGGGAGGGGGGAGGGGCCCGAAGGGGTCGCTAAAAATACTGGCAAAATGTTCGCGAAAGGGGAGAGAGAGAATGAATCGAAAGAAGAAGACGATGAGGAAGAAGGAGGGAATTGGCTTGGCGAAACGCGCGTAAGGTCGACGACGCCTGGTCTTATTTTAAGCTGGTCCTGCCCGAGATTCGGCTCTCCTTGGTTCGTTGATCGGCGCAACGCGGCCGCGGTTGTCCCAGGTCCGGGAAAAAAGAAGGGCACGAGTCGCCCTCCCGGTGTGGGAACTGGCAACGGGGAGAGAGAGCAAGGAGGAACTGGCCGCGGGGAGGAGAGAGCGCGACGAAAAAGGAAAGGAAGAGGACGCGAGGATCGAGAAGAGGAGGAAAAAGGAGAAGAAGGATGCGTTGCATCGATGTCGGGGGCGGGGAGTAGGCAGGAAGAAGGGAACGAGGCGAGTGAAGAGACCCCAAAACTTTCGGGTCATTGCCGTCTGGTCTCGTTTTAGCCTTTCCTTCCCTCCCACCCACCACCACCACCACCTCCTCCTCCTCCTCCTTCTTCTTCTTCTTCTTCTTCTTTCCGTTCCTTCGTGTTCTTTTTCTCGCCGTTTTAAGCACTCTTTTGAGCAAGGTTGGCCACCATGTTTTTCCTCGCCGCGTGCCCCTGCCCGCCTCTCGTGTGCGTATATAAAACCGACCTTCGCGCTCGCACTCTTCCAAGAGAGAGCGAGAGAGCGAGAGAGCGAGAGGGAGAGAGATGAAGAGAGGGGGGAGGGAGGGAGAAAGAATAACGATCGAGAGGAGAAAAGAAAATGTTGAGGGGAGACAGAACGGGAGGGGGAGAAAAAGAAAACCGGTGGATCGAAAAGATACGTACACGACGACCGCGAAACTGTTCCTTTAAAACACGAGGTCACCACCTGAACGACGAAGACAGATACTTTTCAATTGAGGACGTCGAATTTCGTTCATGTTCACTTCATATTTTACCTGTTCAAACAATGGCCTTTGTTGCACCGGTAGCTTCGGTACGTTTTCTCTTTTTTCATGCGTCCGACGCGTTCGCCGTCGATCGCCGTTCATAAAGCGCGTGAAACAGAACGGCAACAGAGGCCATCCCGTGATTGTGTCGTAGTAGCTAGTTTGTGATCTATGCTTTGCATTCCCCTTGAAATCGGCGAGGCTCGCCGAAGATCGATCGACGGAGAAACGATCCGGCCCAGCTGCGCGCACTCCCGCGCAGACATCGGGAACAAATCTTTCGTGCGTGGTCCCCGATCGATCTTCGGCCCTCGCGCTTTTACACATTCGCCTGTCTGGGCTTCGCTTTCTCCTTCCCGGAACGTCCTTCCACCGTTTCACGATCTCTCACGCCTAACACAAACGGATTATTCGAGCCCGCAACCGGATCCTCGTCACTGCACTCCTGCGCTCTGACGAGAACCGCTCCAGTCCCACTTCTGAACCTCCTCCGCTTCTGCGTCCCCGAGGACCAGTTCATCTCGACTCAAGGAAACACCGAATCGTTGTCCTCCTAGCGCGAAATTAGTTCCGAAAGACTGTGACCATTCACGTGGACATTGTTTCATTGAATAAATTCTCCTTCGTTAAACATCGCGTTTGTCAGAAATCTAGATACAGAGCATTCGTTGACGCTCGAGCTACACGAGCCGCTGGAACACCCACTCGATTTTCTGCGCCGAAGTCTGTATTAAAATCCTTTCGGTTAAAGGTCGCGCTAATTTATAGTAACTGGACCGCTGATCTTTTTGTGCGAAACAAAAATTATGTGCATAAATTCGATGAAAATGTTCCTCCTCGTCCAGTAATTATAACAAGCTGAAAATTACAGTCTATGCAGTTTTGTATTTGATCTATTCAGTGTCGTCACAAACGCATTAAATCCGCAGTTCAGCAGTGACATTTTGTATTGCAACCAAACAGTCTCAGAAGCCTCGTAAAACTATAGTAACTTGTGCGTACAAATAAAGATTTCAAGTCTCCGTTGGAAATATCATTTAGCAATTTCGATTCGAATCGACTTCGGACATTTTCCAAAAGGCTGACAATGTAGCTCGAGCGTGAACGATAGTCCTGCTCGCGGTGAACGCGTCGAGATCGACTGGAAACCCTATGCTCCCCCTCAGCCAGACACTCGAGGTGAATTCCCAGTTGCAAACAGAGTAAAACAGAGAAAAAGGAAAGAGTCAGATTATAAGAGTAAATAGAGTAATAGAGAAAAGAAAATAGCAAAAAAAAAGTAAAAAAGAAAAAAAAGAAAAGAAAGAAGTTGATTAGAATGAGATTAGTCCGTGGTGGCGGAGGCAAATTGGTGCCCTAACTCTCACTTGGTCAATCGTGTTCTGTTCTGTGCGCTGCCTGTCCTGCGCTTCTGGTTCGCGACACTCTGTGGTGGTATTCTGTGGGTCGGCTGCTCTCTACCGGGTGCGCCGCGTGTGCCTGCTTCCGGTCTCTTCTTCTTCCGGCCCCCGCAAAAAAGGAGTTGCAACAGCGTGTTGTGTTCCAGCAACACGCCACTCTGATCGGCGGCCCGAACGCAACCAGCTGCCCCGTCTGCCACAAACTCTTCCTCAGCGGCGAGGCTCTTATGGAGCACATGAAGCACACCCACAAGGACCCGAATGCCTCCGGCGTTGCCAGTAAGTATCTACGGATAAATCGAGCACCCTCGATCATCGTCCGTGTCATTCTTTCTTTCTCCGGTTGCTTCTGTTTCCTTTCTTTTTTCTGTTCCTGTTCGACGCTGCTCTCTCGACGCGTGTACCTTGGGGACCGTACACCTGTCCGTCGCGTCGCTCTCTTCTAGGCCCAACGATCACCCGTGCTCTAGCTAATCGCTGGTTACGCTGCCGGACCGTCCGTCGATCCGAAATTATCTAGTCTACTTCGGTCCTGCCTTATCGATGACCGTGCAATTTGCTCGGCTCGGCTGTAACAGAATTCGAGCGCGCTGTTGGAGTCGTCGATCCTTTCGGGACGAACGTCGACGTCGGGGCTGCGCGTTTCGTTCCGGAAGCCGCAAGCGTATCGTTTACGCACGTGAGAAAATTACGGGACAAGTTGTTCGATTTTCCCATCGTTCAAGTCTTCGGTACACGATCTAGTTCTCCGTGGAAAATAATCGATTGGCATCGTCGAAAATTCGCGTCCGTATAGGTCGACGATTGTACCGCGAATCTTATGCAATTATGATAAAAATCACTGGGAAATAAAATGAGAAAACGCGAGTCGTCCGCCAACGACTGTCAATCAATCGATTAAAGGTCCAAATTCCAGATAGACACAACAATAGGCGCGACTACATACGAGAATAACTCGGCGTTAGAGTATCGATTGCGCGTTTTTTTCGAAAGGAAGAATAATAGTCCGCGTTAAAGATCGCTTCGAGCGAGAACCAGCGAACTATGCCGAACGACCTAAAGAGCACGGTGGTCGGCAGGCCTTCGCACTAACGCTATAACACGGTGGCCTAACTCGGGACGCGCTTTGAGTTTTTCCGGCGACCGTGGGCGGAGGGGACCGATCGAGACCTTCGAAAACGATCTGAAGTCGTCGAAGCGAATCGGGACTGAAGAAAGATCGCGGCGGCTATAAGAGAATGGCCAGAGGTATTCGATGACGATTGGTCCCTCCGGCCGCCGGTCACCGACTTCCGGCTGGGTTGAGCTCCGTTCGTCTAACACCCACCTAACAGCTAACGAGCGGGGGGCCGGCAAGGGTTTCTCGCGCGGATTCCTTCGTGGAGAAAGAAAGAACGGAGATAGACGTAACGAGGGTGCCTTAATTGCGCGAGTAAGTCTAAAAACGGAGCGAGAGGGATCGAGGCGAAAGGTGAATAAGAGGGAGAGAGCGAGAGAGAACCGAACGAGAGGGAGAGCGAACGCGAGAACGAGCGAATGGAGACAGCGAGAAAGAGAAGCGAGAAAGTGGTGGAACAACCGCTCATCGGGAGACACGAACGAGGGGTGGTTCGTCCTTAGTCTTTAAGTACGTTTCACGTTCCCCCCACCCCTCCCCCCC